CAGTTCAAGCACCAAACCCATATCCCCGAGTCAATTCGGATTCATAGTGAGCATGTAGAATAGAGTGGAATTGCCCCATAGTTCCCAAGGCTGTAATTCTTTATGGAAGCAGACTGTCACATCTTTCTTGTGGGGTGGCTGGTGGGTTCAAACAGCCAAGCTTTCAGTTCGCAGCTGAGCGCTTAATCACGGCACCACCATGGCTGCTTCCATTCAGACACAGCACTGACTTTTTTTTTTTTTTTAAAGTATGCTCTTAATGTGAAATAACTAATGGGATAAATAAAGGGTTTTGTTTGTAATTTTTTAACACTGAAATGTTCAGTTTTGTGCTTTTGGGCAAAATGTCAACTAAAATTAAAGTTAAATCCTACATACTATTTTACGTCTAGTAATTATTTCCAACACCCATCTGTCTGTCAGTTTGTCCTACTGTAATGACTTGTGTTTTGCTCACGTGAAGCTATGTTACCAGTATTTCAAATACCAGCAGGGTCACCATGGTAGACAAGTTTCAGTGGAGGGTCTAAACTAAAACTAAGAAGAAAGGCCTAGCAAACTACTGCTGAAAATTAGCCACTGAAAACCGTAGGATCCCAACAGACAAATGTCCAACTCACTTGCTGTGGACATACCATTAGGAAAGACCATTAATTGGTTTAATGAAGTTGAAAGCCAGTGAAGATGAGGGAGACACTTGGCGAGATCAGTTGATTGGCATAGTAGCTGCCACAATGGGTCAGGCAAATGATTCTGAGGAGGAAGCAGGACAGGGCACTAGTTCGTTCTATTGTAAATACACCTGTTTTGAGTTGGAGTTAACATTCCAAGAATTCAGAATGCAGTTGTTTGTTTGAATCTGATCTAATGTTGGCAAGACAGCACTGTGAAGTAGATCTCTGAATTCAGTAATGGCCCACCAGCTGCTTCTGGGGAGAAAGATGAGGCTTTCTGCTCCCACAAAGATTTAAAAGCCTCAGAAATCCTTATACAACATCTATATGCATTGCAACCTACTGGAAGGTACTTAACAACATTGTCCTAAAGCAAGGTATTGATTGTTTCAGAAAACTGAGCCATTATTAAGTGCAGGCTGGGCAAGGAGTCAGGAGAGCGTCTTTTGCAAATCAGCTTACCATCTCCCAAATCTCCATTCTCCCATTGTACAATAGTGACGTATGCACTGTCTCTTAAGGATTGTGAAGATCAAATGATGTGAAACTTAATACAAATGGAAGGTGGAGTTCCACAGTTGGCCTGCCCCGTAGGAGCCCCTAGTTAGTTCTTGCAGGGATGTGGAGTAGTGGGGTACAGTAGTCATGCGGAAGTAAGTCCTGGGGTGTGCATTCCTGCCATGTGCAGAGCTCTGCATTTTGATGTCCTCTGATACACTGTCCCAGTATGGCTTGCCACTTTCAGAGTTTGAGAAGGAAGCACCCTATGAGTGGCTGTTTGCTCACAGCTGGATGGGTGGCACATGTTCCAGTTTTCTAGCACAACCTCGCATTGCTGTCATTCCAAACACAAATCCGAAATCGTCATATTCACTTCTGAGATTTTAAGTTAATGACAAAGAATCATCTTTGTGTAAAGAAGCTGATTACAAAGGAATGGATGAGTAATACAAAAATAGGACAATTCTGTGAGAGAAATTGACTGTCGTCCTCAAGTGCTGTTGAGTCAATTCCAACTCACAGTGACCATGTATAGCAGGAGTGGGGTATGTGCAAAATCATTTGGTCTGGTCCTGCTAAGGCACCCACAGTTCCAGCCATCACATTTGTTTTTGTTAAGTGTCATCAAGTCAGTTCCAACTCATAGCGACCTTGTGTAGGGTTTCTGAGGAGAGGCTGGTAAGCTTTAACCACTGACCTTGCAGTTCAGACCGACTTTGCAGTTCAGTACATTAACCCAGAGTGCCACACCAGGACTCCAACAATTGCATTAGGGTTGAGTTCATTAAATGACCAAATATAGCAGGCTAATTTTTATGTCAATAATTTTGTATGGCCCATGAATGATGATATAAATATCCAAATGGCCCTTGGCAGAAAAAAAGTTCCCCGCCCCTGCTGTATAGGGTTTCCCAGGAATAGCTAGTGAGTTTGAACTGGCAGCCTTGCAGTACAGCACTACATCAGGACACTTCTTGAGTCTTGTTATTATTAAGTGCCATCAAGTCAGTTTTGACCCATATCACCCTGTATAGGGTTTCCGAGGAGTGGCTGCTGAGCTTGAACCGCCAACCTTGCGGTTTTGCAGTCCAGCACACTAATCCACAGCACCATACCAGGTCTCCAAATCATCCAGTAACACCTCAAATTTAGGGATATTTTTAGTCTTAGTGGTGTATGTTTTTCTTCTCTAGCTGGGCCTCCATCTTAAAGCTATACATATTTCTAGACAGAGGTCTGCATTAGACTCTCCACTCCCATCACTTATTCTGCTGTGAACAGTCATGTGACATTTCTATAGTCCATTTACCTTCTGGAGGTCATCTGGAGCCTGGAAAACACGCTGGTGATTATGGAAATTCTTCCCCTTTTCTGTCATTAACTAGAGCAGACTTTCTGTTTTCTCCACAACTGAGTTGATAACATATGGGGTGGCAGCTTATAAATGTCTTAGAAACCTTGTCATACTTGATACCTACCAGTGTCTTGACAAGCATAAGTTGGATCATGTAAAGTTTGCTACTGGTTTTAGACCACTTACTTGACCTTCATAAACTTTAAAGATAAAATGCTCTTTTAAATTAAAAAAAAAAATCCTTAAATCTGCTCTGTCAACCTTCGCTCTATTCACAATAAAAAGTTTTAAAAGGAAAATCCATAGGCATTGTACTTTTGGACCTAAGAAGAAGAAAGCGTAATCATTTGCTTCACAATGCGGTGACAGAAAGTTATTTGCTACCCATAAAAAATAAAGCAGCTCCTTCTCATCTTTTGAGAAACAAAACCTCATTGCTGGTACCCAAGCATTTTTACTGACTACTGCTGTTTCGTTTTCATAGCTGCATTACTTAGGTGTAGGATAACTCTGGAAGCCAAAAGCATCCTCTGCACTTGTAAGAACGGCTTCACAAAGCTCTTCTGATTCCAAGGATAGCATAGATCAGCTTCCTTTACACTCCAAAAGCAGCAGTCCGCCTTCAGGGCGCTGCAGGGGAGTAGTATACAAGTAAAGTATGTGAGGGTGTTTGTTCTAAAGGCCCAGTAACATTCTTACGCAGAACAGAGAACCAGAAACTGTAGTAAGAACAGTTTGGGAAAAAATGACCCGAGTATAGGCTACTGTATGAGCACCTTCTAAGGAAGCTGTCTTTATTTGCATTTTACAAGAGTGAACATAGAGATGTAAAATACTGTGTGACAGGCTGACACAATGCTCAGTCCCTTCCTATATAACTGGGAAGAAAGGTAAAGATAGGTCAGAAAGCAGAGCAGTGGAATGCAGACATCTGATTTGCCTTAGTAAATCCACATGGTCTAACTGGCAGCCATACCCAAGGAGTCTTTGTCTAAGGTAAATGCCAAGTAAAATGCTAAGCTGCATACATGAAATAAATGTGATATAGCATATACTGGCCTCATGTGCAGAGAAGGAATTTTGGTCAGACCATTACACACACACAAAAAGGCAGATGATTATATATAGAATTAAAAGCACAGTTCTTTATGACTGGGAACATTTTACTGGCAACACTAACGGTATGATACAGATGTTAACAGGAACCGTAGCGAAACAGGAGGGGATATTGTTTACAGGTTACTTCAGTGCAGCCTGTGGGAATGAATCCATGGGCCAGAGTGAGGGGGTGCACTCAGCTGTATTCCACAGGGTTCTGGATGCTGTGTGGTTTATTTACAGAAGGGTTAGATAAAATAGTTAACTACTAAAGGTATCCCAAAAAGGCCTGAGAAAATCTGGTTACAATGTATATAACCTTGTATTGCTACTGATGGGAGTAGTCATTTTTTATATTTTCTAAAAATAATAAAAAGATTCTGTTAAAAAATAGATTTATCCACAAAGATGTTGATTTGAACTGTAAAAAGCAATATGGAGTCACTCACTTTCTAATTTCAAGTCTTCCCCTTTCTCTCAAGTGAGACCAGGGAATATAATATGGTAGGCTCTTTTTAGCTTCTAGGTGGAAATCCTTTTCTAGAGAAGTAAACGTAGAGGAAACACACTTGGTTTGGTTCTATGCTGTTCCAGTATTTTGGCCAGCTTACCCATTTCAAGGACAGCTTCAAGTCTTAGCTGCTCCTTCAGGGAGGGGGTTAGCTGCCTTTGATTTAACATGGAGGATCCTGCTTGACAAATTCCAATCAGATCCCTCAATAAGTGAAGTGAGGTGGTTTCAAATGATTAGTAAATTTTAAGGCTAAAGCAACATCCATTTATATATCCCAGTTGGTTGCAAACAGCTAACCATAATCTAAAATAGACCGTGTACACATGTCCTCTAACTTTAGCTGGGGGTAAAAGGAACAGAAGAAGGTAATAGTGGAGGAGAAGAATGACAATGTTTTAGAAACCCTGTATAAAGGTAAAAAGAAAGATCAGCACAGATGATCCATTTCTTTGGTGAAGTAAAGAAGTGTCTCACAAATTTTCATAAGCCACACTCTACAGCCTGCTGCTGCACTCATACAAAAGCACCCTGACTGGCCAATAACTTTGTTGGTTACCACCATTGATAAAAAGGAATCTACAAACCTGCCAGGATTGGAGTTTTTGTCTAAAGCTGGTAGTAGAAATGACCTGCAAGCCGATACAGTTAATGGAAGTGATGATGCTTTCCTCCCCTTATCCTGGGTGTGGGGCCTGCCAGTCTCTAACTCCTTCTCCCAGGAGCCTGGAGGCCCTGGCCCTGCGCTCAGCATGAAGAATGGGGCAGTGGGCGCCTGCTCCACAGAATGCACACGAGGTGTAGCCCCTGCGGCCCTGGGGCCCTGCTGGCTGTGCTCGGTGCAGCCCAGGCCTGGGAGGGTCTATTTCTCAGTGAGCGACAGCTGTAAGACTTGCTGCAGCTCTGCCTCCTCCTCCTGGCGCCGGAGCTCCTGCTCCGCCAGCTCTTTGGCTGAGAGCTCCATGGCCAGCTGCAGGTCGCTATCAAAACGGCTGGTCTCGTTCGGGGCTCCAGGGTGCAGGCCTTCTGAACTGTCAAGGAGGCTCTCCTGGAGGGCCCTGGGTTGGAAATTGGAGAAGACATTCCTTACCATCACTCAAACGGCAGCACCACCCACATTTCTGAAGCACTGTACATACACTGTCATTGAATCCCACATAGCTATGGGTTTCATCAGGTAGGTAACCCCAGGCTCAGTGAGGCCCTCCAGATCACCCAGCTCCTAAGTGATGAGGCTGGGAAAGGCATGTGGAGCGATTTTAAAGCAAAGCCTGGGCTGCCACATGTGCCTGTTAAGTGTCGTTGAGCTAGTTCTGACTCATAGTAACCCTGTATAGGGTTCCCAGGAGTGGCTGGTAAGTTTGAACTGTTGATCTTGAGGTTCAAATTGACCTTGCAGTTCAGTGCTTATCCTACATTACCACCACACCAGGAATCCTATAAGTACTCCTATGAGAAACCTATGAATCTCTAGGTTTTCCCCTACAAGATGATAACTATATTCATCTCTAGCTCTTCCCTAAAGTGTCACCTCCCTGAAGCCTATAAAATTCCCACCCAAAGCACTTAGTGCCGGTATCTTCTGCAGAAATCACACCTACCAGAAACAGGTGCCCAGTCAGTGCCTTCCTGCAGTGAGCCTAACATTGATTCTGACACAGGCGACTCCATGCATGCCACAGTAGAACTCTGCTCTGTCAGCGTCTTGGGGGCTAACTTTTCTGAAGTAGATCACCAGGACTTCCTTCTGAGGTGTCTCTGGGTGAACTCAAACTCCCAACCTAATGCACTAAGCATGCACCCACTCCTGGAAGGCCCACTATCAGGCGTTAGAACTGTGTGAATGAGAAATGCCACACAAGGAAGCTCAGTGCGAACACTTGATCCAGCGTCTCCCCACTAGCATAGTCCGTGAATTAAGGTTAGTCCTCAAGAGTCAATCACCTCTCATACTGCGTATCATAGCCATGTATCCGGCCGATCCCGCCATTGGAAGCTGGTCCCGAGACTTCCTAGGGAACACAAAAGTGACGGACATGACCACCTCTCCGAAAGAACAAGTGTCACATAGAGAAAAGCATGAACAAAAGGAAAAGTGTCACTTACTGCTAGGTGAAAAACTGGTGGGGAATTGGTTACCTCTCTAACCAAAAACAAAAAAGGAGTTGTCATAGACTCAGTCCTAGCTGATGACAACCCCATGTGTGTGTCAGAGGAGAAAATTCATAGGGATTTCAGTGGATAATTTGTGTAAGTAGATCAACAAGACCTTTCTTCTGAGGTGTCTTGGGGTAGATTCAAACCTACAATCTTTCATTTGGTAGCTGCATTAACAATTTGCACCATCCATGGACTCCTACTTCTAAAAATCATCTCTGAATGTCAAATAGTATACTCCCCTGATAAATAGCCATAACCTTTCCATACTTAACACAAAATCCAGCTATTAAAAATAGCTAACCATGAGTAAATTTTAAGTAAACAAAGCAGGTCACTCATTTAGAGCAAAATAATTGTTAGGTACTGTCAAGTCGGTTCCTACTCATAGCAACCCTGTATAGTGCTTCCAAGGCCTTAGCTTTCTCCTGCCAAGCAGCTGGTGGGCTGGTAGAGCAAAATTAGAATCCATGATTCCTGTTTGTTGTCTTTGATTGCTTAAAGAAAATTTATATACATATTGGGTAGAAAGGAGAATAAGGAAAAGCATACTGAACTGGCAGCAATATCAGGGAACTGGGTTCCCCAATAGGCTTCTCACAAGGAACACGGACAGCTGGAGCAAGCTAACTGGGTCTGGGAATGAATGAATCCATGGTGATGGGTGGTGCTGGTTAAATGCTATCAAGGCAGTTTTGATTCATAGCGACCCTGTACAGGGTTTCCAAGGAGCAGCTGGTGGCTTTGAACTGCTGAACTTTCGGTTAGCAGTCCAGTGCTTATCCTTCAGCACCACACCAGGACTCACAGTGATGGGAGTGGGCCTCAAATTCAAGTTCTAGAGACTCAAGAATAAAACGAGAATACCAACAACCTGAGCCAGTGGAGATGTGGGAATGGGGGTCCACAAAGCTGCCTCACAAGGGTGGAAGAATTCTTCCACCTGGTACAAAGTAACCCCAAACCAAACCTTTTGTCCATAAGTTGATGCTGACTCACGCAGACCCTCTAGGACAGCAGAACTGCCCCATAGGGTTTCCAAGGCTGCCATCTTTTTCAGAAGCAGACTGTAACAGCTCTCTCCCAGAGAATGGCTGGTGGGTTCAAACTGATCTGTAGATTAGCAGCCAAGGGCTTAGCCACCACACCACCAGGGCTCCTTGAAGGAATGAAGAAACCAGTAAACACACAAATGGACAACAGTTGCCCAGACACACCAGAGGGCAGTGGAGGCAGAAACGCACTGAGGGAGGTGACATGGGCCGAGGAGGATCTCAACCCCTAGACTGTGAGGCCTGGAGAAATAACCACAGAAGTAGAGAAGTGAACAAAATGAGACTCTTCTTATGTCAGTCCTAGAGGTTCAGAGAGTGTTTACCATAGAATCAAAGATCAATAACAAATTTCATCACATAGTTCCTGAGCAGCCGCCAGAAGATGGGATTGAAATCCACATTATAACCTTCTCGCGAGACAACTGACACATCAGGTTACCAGGAAAAAAATATGAGGATGTACACTGACAGGAATGTAACTGTTTCAGTGCTAGACAACCACACATTACGTGATTATTAGCTACACAGATGAATATGGAGAAAAGTAAGCTTGTGCATGATGCTAACTTGGGCTGTGCAGGTGGTCTTTCATACAATAAAGCTTTTACAAAAGCACATGCTAAAAAAGATAATCTATGTAAATACTGAATATTTCGAACTTGCTTCTGAAGTTAAAGAATTAAAGCTTTCAGCTCAAAAGCCTACATTTGGGGTTTGTTCTGATACAAGCACCTGGCTCCTGCTGGACTCCAACAAGCTCTGCTGGATGGCAAACTGCATTATCTCATAATCTTCATCTTGCAAATGCATGTTTCTGCCATTGTCTTGAATGTGATACGATTCAGGAATTTCAAACACAGACTGATCAACCTCAAAGTTTGTGACAGGGGAAGCTGAAACACAAATGTTAACTCCAATAAAATGTCCACTCCAACTTCTCAGAACAATTCAATTTTTTAAAATTCAAAGTATCAAAATGATGATGATCATCAAGGTTTGCTTATATGTGAGAGCGATTGCAAGGAAGGACAATCATCACAGAAAAAAAGTACCAGAACACTGCTTTTGTTTCTTGCCTTTTTCTAATGACAAAATTAATTCCTGTTCATAAACAATATACAGTCCACTGTACAGTGAAAAGTGGAAATTTCCTCCCTGCTCCCATTCTCCTATTATCAAACTCCAGCGTGTATGTGTTTATATCTAGAACCACAGGCCTTTTTTCCTTCCCTTTGTAATACAAAAACAGTATATATTTATAGATATCAAATAAAAATAAAAGGAATGCCTCTGTATCCTTCACCTAAGCGAATATACAAAATACTAACATTACTAGATTCCTCGTATGCGCCTTCATCATACCCCCTTCCTTCTTCATCTTCCTGGGTAGACACATGATTCAGAACAGTGCTTATCACTCCCCTGGCTCTTCTTTGGAATTTTGCCACAGGTGTATAATCTTAAGCACTTGTTTATTTCAGCCAATTTTTTTAAAAACTTGACACAAATGGAATCATATGGAATGCATTCTTCAAATGGGAGCTTTTCATTCATTATTGTTTCTAAAATCACTAAATTTGATGCTTATGGCTGGACTTCTTTATTTTCACAACTGCATGTTACTCTATTGTATTAAAAGACACAACGTGCACATTGTGTTATCTCAAACATAACAACTGCCAGGAGAGAGTAGGATCAGGCAGTGTTTCATTATGCTATGTAGAGTTGCTATGAGTTAGAACCAACTAGATGGCACCTAATGACAACTATCTCATGACATTGGGTTTCCAGTGTTTGCTACCATGAACAACTCTTGTTAAGTGCCATCAAATTGCTTCTGACTCACAGTGACCCTTTATCGGGTTTCCGAGGCTTTAAATGTTTGCAAGAGCAAACGTCTTTCCCCCACGGAGCAGTTGGTGGGCTCAAATGTTGGACCTCGTGGTTTATAGTCCATTGTTTGTCCTGTGGAACCACCACGCTTCCACCATGAATAATAGTGCTGCCCATTATTGTTTTTTCCACAAGCCCACCGACAGGTTTCTCTGGGCCACATCCCCGGGAATCAGCAGATGCGCTGAATGTGTACAGCTGCAATTTTACAAAGTAATGCCAGATGTTTTGTTCATGAAATCAGGACAGTTTACTCTCCCACAAGTGGATGAGTGTTCTATGCTCATGAATACATGACATTACCTGATTTTTTTGCCTCGTGACATTATTATATATATTTTTTGCCTATCTGGTAAAATTTTGTATCATGGAGATTTAAATTTTTCTCTTTGAAATCCAGAACTGTAATTAATATATAATAAAATGCTGTCTTTTAATTCACCATATAAGTAAATGGAAAAAGTCATATGATCATCTCAGTAATTGCAGAGAAAACATTGGAGAAAAGCTAATCCCCAGTAAAGATAACTCTCAGCTAGTGAGGAATATAAGGGGATTGCCTAATCTAGTAAAGGGCATCTACAAAACCTACATTTAATCTTATACTGAATAGTGACATGTCCTGCCCCTAACATCAGGAACAAGCCCAGGACTTCCTCTCTCACCAGTTTTACTCACCGTTGTACTGGAGGTCCTTGCCAGTACAGTAAGGCAAGAAAAAGATTAGATGCAAAATGAAATACAATTGTCTTTATTCATAAATAGCATGGCTGTGTATGTAAGAAACTAAGGAACTTGTAAAAAAAAAAAAAAGTTACTAGAAGTAACAAGTAATTCAGCATTGTTGGAAGATATAAGATCATATTGTTCATGACACTCTATATATTAGCAATGAAAATTGGGAAACAAAATTTAAAACTTAATCCATTTACAAATAGCATCCAAAAAATGTGGAAAGGACTGAGTGCAGAGGAGACTGAGGGAAGTTTTCTGTATGATGGAAATGCTCTGTATTTGGATTGTGGTGGTGTACACACAGGTATATCCATTTGTCAGAATGCACTGAGCCATCACACTTACCCTTATATTTTGATGGTACGAAGAAGCTTCAAAAAGTTTGTGGAAAAACTTAATTATGTTTTAATACCATCTTTCCATGGACTTTTGGAAGCCCCCTTGTATGTATATCACACCTCAGTAAAATTAATTTTTAAGAGTACACTGTCTTTTTAATAACCATGTGATCATAAATAGCCTACATGTTAATTTTTTCACTAAACCTAAAAGTTAACACAGAAATCAACTTCAGAAGATGCTCCAATTTTAAATTGAATCATTAATATAATGACTAAATGATGAATTTTTTAAAAAAAGCACAAAGTTCAGCTTTATTTATTTATTTTTTACCTGGATTAGCCTGGGTCCCATCCACATTTTGAGATACAATTTCTTCAGCAGTGCTACAGCCATTAACATTTCCAAATGTAATCCGTGCATTTAAGACATGAAACAAGGGAATTTCTAAAAAAAAAAAAAAAAAAGGGTTAATAAATACACTTCACAGAGAATAGCAGTAACAATTACCATTTACTGCATACTGCTAGTACTGTGTCGAGTTCTTTTCATTAGTATGATTTCATTTCATCCTCCTAACATCTGTCCCTGATACACAGACAGGAAAACAGATGCAGAGATGCTAAGCAGTGTTTTCTAGGCCGCGGTGAGTGAGAGTGATGAGCTAGAGTTCAAGTGCTGCGTGTGTGTCTGCATAGCCATCCCTCTGGAGCAATACCTAGTTGTACATGATACTATGCCAACTTGTCCAGGCCCCCAAACATGAATGTATCAAAGTATCAGGCTGGCTGCCAAACCACCTTCCTGAAGTATCTAATCTGAAGTATCACTTACATGTGAGGTTTGACATGAAAACAAGTCAGAGATGTATGCCTTTTTATATCAGGACTGGAGTCCTGGTGTGGCACTGCGGGTTAATGCGCTGAACTGCACAATCGGTTTGAAGGGCAAGGTCAGTGGTCCAAGCTTACCAGCTGCTCCTCAGAAACGCCATACAGGGTCACTATGGGTCAGAACTGACTTGATGGCACTTAAAAGCAACATATCAGGACTGCCTATAATGGTTGGGATCTCCTAATTTTGATCGCAAATCCCCAGTCTGAGCCAAGAAGCATGACACTTCTGTACATTACAACGTAGAATAATGCTGACCTCCTCTAGTGGGGACTGTCCTGTGCCTCAAGTGCTACAACTCCCTGAACCGCCCCCCCGCCCCTGAGCAGCACCTAAAGCAAACCTGTGGGTCATTTAACAGTACCTATTTTGACAGGAAATCCCGGTGGGAATTCTAGTTTGATGAAATCTCTCAGTCTTGCAAAATGAGCGCTCGTTCGGGCCATCAAGTCAATGATGGGAATGACCTGTTCCACCAGGGACAGGGGAAATTCTTCACACATCCATAGCATCGCTTTAAACCTGCAGAATTTGGCAAAGAAAAGATGGCAGCCACCTCTACCAGACAGGCAGAGCTGGTCACCTCCCGGTCGGCGGTATGAATCCACCCAGTGGTTTTGTGGTAGAAAGGCCTGGCAATGAGAGTCTAGGAAACCCTCTGTCACATGGGTTCAAGAGGAGTCACCATTGGCTGGACGGCACCCAACAACCAGTCACCACCAGCTTCCTTACTCGTCTTCCCAGTTCTCTCAGGTCTATGAAGGGACAAGAACTGGAGGGCTTCAGATGGCTCTGAAATCTAGCAATCTGGGGAAATTCCTCGATTATGTCCACCTGCTTCAAGGATGAAGCAGTAAGATGGTCGGTGGGGGCCATTTCATTTATCAGTGGAAGCTAGTTGGCAATAAAAGAAGGAATTCTTATATCCAAACTATGTTCTGTGTGGAAAGGGCTTAAGGACAAGCCATCTACAGTTAGCTTCTTTCAGATAAAGTGGGTTGTTAAGTGTTGTCGAGTCTGTTCCAACTCCGAGCAACCCTGTATAGGATTTCTGAGGAATGGTTGGTGGTTTGAACTGCTGACCTTGAAGTTAGCAGATCAGCGCTGATCCTACAATGCCACACCAGGACTGTTTTTAATGGAAGGGAGCAGGGGATGACTAAACATGATCATTTTACAGCACAACTTAAGGCCACAGAATCACTTACTTTTGCGTTCTAATTGTCAGCTCTTTAGGTCTTCCAATGTCCCTGTCTTTCAGATCAAACTCTTCATTGAAGTACTCCTCAGGCGTGATGGCCGTGGGGTTGTTTGCAGTGGCAAATTCTGTGGTGAGGTCCTGCCAAGCCCAAACCCAGGGGAGAGTGGAGGTTGGTTAGAAATGACACAGTATGCACACAAGTGAAGGCCTAAGCCCTCAGTCTTTGTGGGCCTATGAACCGGCTATAGGATAGGACGTTCCAGTCAGCTTTATTACATGTCACTGCCTGAAACAAGAACATCTACAGACGTGTGACCAGATTCCATGCAAGTCTAATGGATTTCTCCATTTAAAAATAAGGAACAAAGTATATTTCTACTCTCCTTGGCATTTTTATCTCTTGATTTCAGGAAACATAAACGAAATCAAAACCAAAGGAGGCAGAAATATTTGGAAATACATGAGATTTGGGGCTTAAGTTCCAGCGCTGTTATTCTCAAGTGTGTGATGCAGGAGTGGTCTTTTTTTTATCCCCCTGGCCCTTGGTAACATTCAGTGTACCCATTTCTTACTGTTATTGTGACTATCAAGTTCTTTGTTAAAGTGCTATATGTAAAATATAAAGTCTTTTGTACTTGTTAATCCTGGGATGTTTCTGAATGGTCACCGCCTTGAAAGTGCTACAAAAGAGTTCTCTCTGTACACATGGGGTCGCCATGATTCAGAGCCAGCTTGGTGTAGCCACCACCACCACCACCATCCTTTGTAAGCACCATTGTTACAGAGATGTCCTGGTTTATAATGGACCTCAGAAGCAGCATATGAATCCCATCATCACCACCCCCCTTCTCTGGAATCTTACTTTTTAAAGATTTGTCAAATTCTCTTCCAAAAAAAGGTATCTCAAAGCTTGGGAATTCTCTGTGAGCTTTTCAAATAGAATGCGATATTTCCTTTCTTAAGACTCATGAAAGCCCAGCACTTGAACTTACCCCTTGAGCACCAAACTGATGTTCCACAGTTCCCAACAGAGATTCCAGTGGATTCCTGTCCGCTAGGGGGAGGTAGGGAGTCGAGAAGAGAAGGTTAATTGCTAATAGTACTCACATACCGTACTGTGGCTACAGAAAAAAATTCTCATCATATTTTAAAGTTTCTGATTCCAGCAATCTGCATTAGGCAATGCTGAAGTAAGGTTTATAAACAGGCTGAACCAGATCCCCCACAAGGAGCCTTTTTATTAGGATATCTAAACTAGATGGATAACAGAATTAAAGCAGAAGAGTGGAAAGAGTATGGAGGTAGGTGGGAAACATGGCTGATTCCATTCCCGCCTTGGCCCTTCACTACCCATGTGTCTATGACAGATCATGTGTCTGGGCCTTGGTTTCCTTGTCTATCAAGTTGGAGTCATGTTAGTATTGGTAGCTGGCAGTCACAGCCTGCTGGCCACATACACTGCATGCATTGCTGGAGAGTTTGCAGATAGTTACACATCTCATCCTCCAGCAGCTCTGAGGAAAGTCTGAGGTTGCCTCCGCTTCACTGCTGAGGAAACTGAGGGTAGGTAACGTCATAAGGTCACTGGCCACTACAGATGCCAACATTTTGGTTTAGAGTCCCAAGTTCTATTCAAATCTTTTCGTCCAATATTTTGGACCCAGTCATCCATGGCAATGATAAACATGCTCCAATCTCCCCATCTACTTTTTTGGCTAAACCCAACAATTGTTCTTCAGAAAACATAAGCCATCAAGAATGGCTTTCATTACAGCTATGGGGGAATACTATAAGCCAACTATAGGGGAATACCTCCAAGGATATGAGTCAGATGAAGGGCATTTTTATAAAAAGAAATTAGAGTTAGGATTCATGCTCCCTGGTCACATTAACCCAAAATGGAGCCCATGAAGGTCCTCTCTAGGTTCAAGGAAGTGGGGAGGATTACCTTTATATCTCTTTTTTTCTTCCTCAGTTAGATGTTCTGTGCGTATTTTGGTTAGCACACTCACATTGTTTACCGTGTAAACCTTGAGAGGTGTGGGCAAAAGAAGACAGTGACACAGGGAATCAAAATGCCAAAAAGAAAGCACAGCAAGAGCAAAAATGCTGAAGCAAAAAGATAAAAGAATAATCCAGCAAAATAAAAATGAGAACAATCATTCGATTCCTTCAGAGAAACTATGCAGGCTACGAACTTAGAAATGCATCAGCCGTTACTTCTCCACATTGGACAGTTTTGCATACTGAGGAGTTAACAGGGACAGGCTGCATCTTCCTAGTCACCTTGTTGCTTAAACAATCTCAAATCACTGTCCTGCAGTTTCACTACGGGCTTTCTGTTTTCTAAGATTCCCAATCCTGCCACCTAGACTTCTACTCATGACTAAGACAGCCATCTGCTGGACAGAAGGAAAAAGGAAGAAACAATGTTTTCCACCTCTAAAAGATTAGAGAAAAAACCAGCATATCACTATATAAAAGGAATTCTATACAGTGACCAAAAAAAAAAAAAAAACCTCTTAACTTCCAGAGTAAACACTCTGTTAGTAAGGTTGCCTGGTGAATATAGTGGCCTTTAAAAAAACAAACAACATAATGGCTACCAAACGAACTCTGTGCCATCCGTGGATTCCCGAAGTGCGAAGACTCAGAAAACACACTCAGCATGAGCATGGATGTTTCTAGATGTGTCTTGCTGAGCATGACGTAAGCTTTCTAAATGCTGAGAGGCCATGGGAGGGCCCTGCAGTCCCGGGCTCCAACACCATTAGCCATCAACCCCTGCTGCACTGCAGGACTAATGAAAGGCCAAGACATAGAGCTTCACCGCTGACAAAATGCCAGGTGACTCAAATGACTGTCGTCTCCACTATTACAGCTATTTTCTAAATCCCCTGATACCATGGCTATTAGCCTATCAGTTACAACTAGAGAAAAGAGCTACTTTAAAGAGTATGGTGCTTTAGGATATATTTTTAAAATCTGCTCAGGTCATAAAAACAGATGGACAAGTATGTTAAGTCGAATCCATTTTCTTTCTCTTTGCTTTTTTTCTTAAAGAATTAAATAACTAGTTTGTTATTCCTACCAGGACAACTGGTGCCTATACTCATTTCTCTACAATATTGTTTCTCTTGGGCCTTACTAGAGACCTCCTCAGGACATTCTATCCCATTTCTGAAAGTTAAATAAGATACAAATTCAAGTGAGAGAGACATTAGACAATATCTATTCCTCCAGCGCATCTTCATGGCACAGGTGCATGAAAAAATCTGAACAGACTCCTCGTTTGCATAGAAGCTAAGTAGCTATAGTAAATCTTATTTTAAGAGTTTCCTTTTACCTTTGCTTCGTAACCATTAACAACTTCTGCTTTATCTGTCCTCCAGCCCCAGAATCCGGATTTAGTTCTGATAAAAAGTGAACACCACAAATTTCTACATGTACAATATGCCATTCAGATTTATCCCTGCAGCCGTTAGTATTTTTTCTCCCCCAACTTAAGTTAGTGAAGGACACTGGGAAATTACTGTTGTCAGGTCCACAAAAGGATGCTGTCAATGACAGATGGCTCAGGCACCCCCAACCTCCCCAGCACAGTTAGTGACCAGTCGGCCTCACCCTGGCACGGGGCCTGCATTCTTTGTTTTTTTTAAACCAAAACTGCCAGCACAGTTGACAGGTGGTGACATATACTGGACAGCTGTTGTAACAAGTGAGTGAATATGACTAGTGGCCACATGGGGTATCTGGGTCATAGCATTTATCTGGGTCATCTGAACAGTGGGCTCAGATGCCAGTGGGGCTGAATCCATAAGCAGCTGCTTCTGGATCGAGGAATTGTTCAAACAATGAGGTACACACCATCCTGTTCCCAGGAGAGAGTGGTGGGGGCAGGAACTCATCCTATCGCCAGCTGCTTGGAGCAAGATGGCTGTGAGTCACACACGTCCTTGGGTTTGGTGCAGCATTGTGAAAATATGCTGAAAGCAGATGTGGGCCCTGCCCTGCCATGGAGCTAGCTCTGTGGCATTTCTGTTAAAGTAAGCCAGCATTCCACCAGCAGCTGCAGCTTTGGGAAAGTGCCTAAAAGCCCAGCTATTTTAACTTAACGTGCTCCTGAAAAAAATGCATTTAGGGACCAAGAAGATCCCAGAGGCTCAGACTGTTTTTCATAAAGCAGATCCCCCAGGACATGCTACCATGCACGTGGGACTGACCCAGCCCTGTGTCTAGGGCAGCATATCCTAGCACCACTGTGACTGTCGACCTTGACCCTGCCTGTTGTACTACAGCCGCTGGCCTTCTGCTCTGAGCCCCAAGCCTGGCTGGAAGCTCGTAAGCGGCAGCAGGGGAGCCGAGTCCCAAAGAGCACACACAGCCAGTGGCATTTGGTGTTTCCAAACAGTCTGCAAGCCTTCTCATGGGATTTTGAAAATGAAACTAGGCAGATGGAGTAGTATGAGTTTCGTGTGCATATCACAGACCATCGGATAAAGAAGAGACTAGTGTTTTAACCCTTTCATAATCTAATTGTTTTCCACTTTGAATTTTTCTGTGGATACCATGTTTTCACTCAAGGAAAGCACACCGAATCAAGGGGCATTTCTAAAAAATTTTTAGGGAATACAGATTTGGAAATGTGTCCCTCTGGGCTCTGGGGTAGGATTCTGTAGGCCACACAGGTCACTATGGACTGGGAATAAAATAATGTGGGGCACATATGTCCCTCTGGACTTTGCACTGCCCTCTAGATCCTTTGACAAGCTCATGCAGTGTAGGGCACCTGAAAATGCTGTGTTTGTGTGAACATGGAATCATGAGAAAGGCAATGTCCACAGAATGCACAGGAACCCAGACATATACTTTTTGTTGTTGTTATGTGCCGTCGAGACTGAACAGGGTTTCCAAGGCTGTAAATCTTTATAAGGAGTAGAAAGCCTCACATCTTTCTCCCGTGGAACAGCTGGTAGGTTTGAACTGCTGACCATGAGATTAGCAGCCTGATTTGTAACCACAAGGCTTATTTTTCAGTAAAAAAGCCAAAAGAGACAAAAGTTTTATGAAATGACACTTCTGGGATGCAGCCCCTGTAAAAACAACCATTTCTGGCACGCACCCATTCTCCCATTTCAGACATTTATGCAGCTCCCCCCAGAAGCAGAAAATGTAGGTGAGCACTGTGTGCCCAGGTCATGAAAGGGTTAATTTTCCTACTCTTGTTGGGGTGTTACCCAGACAATTCCAACTCACAGCAACCCCTGTGACAGTAAAAAAAACCCTGAAGGTGTTCTACACGGACTCTTACAGAAGCAGATCACTAGCTTGCTCTTCCTCAGAACCACTCAGTGGATTAGAACTGCCAACCTTGTAGTTAAGCAGCCAAGAACTTAATCTTTGCACCACCAGGGCTCTTTAATAGAGCAACTAGAGATATAATACTGGCCAGCCCAAAATTGTACTGGCTAAGAGAATATTAGTTTACAAGCATAAAACTCTAAATCACGGATTAGACAAAAGAAATGGGTGACAATAACTATTACAAAATGGGAGAGAGTCACACCAATTAAATCAAATCCAATTTAACAAGCACTTACACCTCCAACAAGAAGTAGGTGCACATACTTTTTGTACCACCAAACCTCACAATCAAGAGTAGCTCAAGTCCTTGCTCAATGCACACCCACCACTATGAGCACCGCTCATTCTGAGCACTATGAGCACTATGAGCAAGCAGCTGTCTTCCAGAAATTCTCTCTTACCATCCCTCTGCCAGGCGCCAAAAGAGGGTTAACTTGATCCATTTCAAAACCCTGTGACCATATAAATACATATAAGTATAAAATGTCCTTAGTCCTCAGTTCAGACGGAATGTGCCAGCCTAGAACCATCATGTTTTCATAAACAACATTTAGTGACAAGCTATAACTCTAGCAATTCTGCACACCAACTCGAGGGAGCATCTCTTCTCATGATATCTTACATGCACCGACTTCAGCGACTCCTTGTCTAGACCCACCCCTTACTCTTCTAGCTAAGAAAGAGATGAAACAATGTACCCAGTTATTCTGTAACCCTCAGTTCTTCTAATGCTCATCTCTAATGATTAGGTGGGGTAGAGAGGGCAGCCTATCTTATCTTCCAGCTTTAGGAATTCTCCCAGGCCCTCCCTGTCTTCAGAGGCCTATGCTGAAGTGTGACCTTCCCAGGTGAAGCCAAGGGTAAGTCCCTACAGCTCACTTGGGGACTGGCGATAAGGAAGGGCCCTCCTGCTACTGGGGAGATGTCATTGTTCTTACCAAAGCCTCAGCAGCAGCTCTGCAGACACAGGCTGGCGCTTCGGTTTTGGGTTTTTCTTCTGCTGTGTACAGATACCCTAATTCCACAGCTCAATCTAAACTAGAAGAAAAAGGGCATTTAACGTGTTTGATGTTGGACCACATGGAAAACTCCCAGTTTTATTACCCAAAAAACCCAAAACCCAAACCCAAACTTAGCGCCATGGAGTCAATTCCAACTCATAGCAACCCTAAAGGGCAGAGCAGAACTGCTCCCCAAGGGTTCTGAGACTAGATCTTTTTGGGAGCAGACTGCCTCATCTTCCTCCCACAGAGTGACTGTAGGCTTCAAATCACCAAATTTGTGGTTGGCAGCCCTGTGCCTAACCCACTGTACCACCAGTTTTACTCACTAGCTAATACTGGAAACAAAAAGACAAGAAAAGTAAAAACAAAGTGTAGTTAGTACATTCTCCCACCAGAGAGAGAAGAAAACCTAACCCAGGATATGATTGCCCAGCTAAGTGCAGGTCAGGCTACTGTGGCTTACAGAGAGCTGGTGTGATGTCCTAGGCAAACACGCGGGGTTCCTGTGGGTTCCTGAGGAGCAATGCATCCTGGGGTAGAAACACTTGGCAAACAGCTTGTGAGAAACCATACTGACAACTCCCCACCTCCACCTGCCTGACTCTCCAAGACCCTCGCACCCTCTGCATGGCCCAGGGACAGACGACCAGAGATCTCATCCCTGATCTCTGCAGAGAATTCTTCTGGTAGGGTCTAGCACAGAACTGAAAGGCCTCCAGACTCTTCCCACGGGACGAAAAAGTATATGGTACTTGTTTTTATCTAGAGTGTGAACTGAACTTGTGTGAAGGGGCTTCACAAAGTTTGTGGAAAAATTCCTCCTATCAATAATAATCAAATTCAGTTCTGGGTCACAGTTCTAGCTTTCAGAGATTCAAAGCACTAGGGTTTGGGACTAGAGACTGTTGTGGTCCCCAGATGTCAATATAAGAGTAAGATTTGCATAAACTCCATTAGAAAGGGCCCGTCATAATATAGGAAGACATTTTTTCAAAATAAAATTTAACCAGGTGTGCTACAAAAATTATATACAATGCCGGGTGTCAGCTATAGTTTATATTTGGTTAGAACAGACAAACTTTAAAACCCACTAGTAGTATCTGTTACACATACTAGAATCATCCCAACCCATCCACAATTTCCAAGTATATACATGCTACCAAAGATGGCAGTACAAGGATTAGACATCAGAATACAGAACCTGCATCCGTACCTTTCAAAGGCAATATTTTTAGTATCAAGACTGGTGTTGACGACTGGACTTGTGAGGCGCCTCTCAACTTCCCTGCCTTTTGGCTTCATCAAGTCCAAAGTGAGGCGCTCCATTTCCTGGGAGAGGTCAAAGTGCTCAGTAGTGACCACTTTGTCATCATGGTTGACTTCCATCAGCTCTGCCCAGTTGTCTAAACAGAAACAAGCGCTTATATGAGCGTAATGCAAAGAAGATGCAAAAGCAAAGAGGCCTCCTATGCTAAAGTATATCATCTTTCAGATTTTTCCTCCTAGGTGCTATCTGATAAAACCTAGAGAATATCAATTATCAATTAACTACTCACACGGGGAAGGAGCTCTGGTAGCATAGTGGGTTATGAGTTGAGCTGTTAACTGCAAGTTTAGTGGTTCAAACCCACCAGCCATGTCTCAGATAACCCTATACAGGCTCTCTCTGAGTCAGAACCAAATCGATGGCACACAGAAATGATTCAGCCTGCGTCCTTTGAAATGAGGAGGCTTCAGGGCAGACTTTTAAAAAAAAGAATTTTCCTTTATTAGCAACACATTGAATCTATTTTAAAAAGATAATATCATTACGTATGTGATAGACATGATTGATGCATAACATTAGGTCAACAGTGTCATTTCTTACCTTCCATTAGAGAGTCATTGCCTGATATGAAGAGAATATAAAGTAACTCAGGACAGCCTCATCCTTAAAGTCTCAGAAGTGAGATAGGCACATATCTACAGGGTAACAGTTGTTGCTGTTCTGTGCCGTCGAGTCAGTTCTGACTCATACTGTGTAGGGTTTCCGAGGAGTGGCTGGTGGGTTTGAACCACCCACCTTGTGGTTCAAACTGACCTTGCAGTCCAGCGCACGATCCTACAGCACCACACCAGGACTCCGGGACTCCAGTTGTGGGTAGTAAATGATATGTGCAAGAGGACTACCCAGACAAGAATTAGACAACTGAAAGTTAGCAATGAATAAGAATAACAACGACGTGTCTCGGTGAAGACAAGATAAGGCAAATGAATCTGAGCATTCTGGTAGTTAAAAAGGATCAGTTACATAGCTTGAGAAGTGACTACTAGAATAACCAACCACTTACCTTCTCCCTTAAATATGAAACTACGTCTCCCTCTTATCCAGCTCATGTTTTCAAATCCCAGTAATGTGATATCGACCCGCAATTTGGCACCACTTTTCCAGATGCGACAGACATCATTTGGGCATATCCTGGAGACCAAGGGCACTGGAGGAGACAAGTGTACAGCTGAGAAACACAAGGCACACCTGGGCCCAGGAAACCAGAAGACAGAAGTGGTAAGACCGTTACCACCACAGACAACTAGACATGACTCCACACTTATTACACAGGAAGCCACTCTGGAGAAACAGGAATGGCTCTTCTGCTCTCTAGCTCTGATCTATGTCTTTCCAGAGAAAACTTGAAAGATATTTCCCAAGAGTATTCTCAAACCTAGCATGAACCCCACTTACTGACCCCCACCAGGGCTACAGTGTGTCCATCTGGCCTTTCTCATTCACATATGCCACTCTGGCCTTAATGGCTGCGATCTACTATATTGTCATAGCCACCACTCAACATATCAAATGTCTACAACATGCTGCTTTTTAGCAGAAATGGAAATAAGAGCGGCCCTTTGCATTATAAAAGAATCCATTCATTCACAGAAGAATTTGAAGTTCTGTTCTTTTGCAGACTTTTCACTTCCTTCAAAGCACACTGGACTTCTGGTGTGGTGCTGTAGGATCAGCTCTGGGCTGCGAACCACAGGGTCAGCAGTTCAAACCTGCCAGCTCCTCCTCGGAAACCCTATACAGGGTGGCTATAAGTCGGAACAACCAAGGAGCTCTGGTAGCGTAGTGGTTACGAATCGGGCTGTGAACCTTAAGGTCAGCGGTTTGAAACTACCAGCTGCTCCGCGGGAGAAAGATGAGGCTTTCTACTCCCGTAAAGATGTACACCCTCGGAAACCCTATACAGGGTCGCTATGGGTCAGAACCGACTCGATGGCACATCATAACAACAACAACAACCAAGACAATGGCACTTACAACAACAACAAAGGCGCATTACAAATAAGATTTCTTGCCTGTAAGAGAAGTCTGGCAGTGAAAATGTATAAAAATCTGGGAGTTAGGAATGATTACTAACTGATGTAAAAAAAAAAAAAATCTCTGAAATGATACTATCAATATGCCTCATGTAATATATTGATGAGCAGCATCCACTTTGTAAAAATATAAGCTCTTTTAATATTTACTTCATTTTCTTTGTTAGCATAACAAGTTTAAAACATTCAAGCTGAGATACATAAGAGAATCTAAGGATTTATGTATTTCAGCTTGAATGGTTTACATTCATACATGCATAGGTTTATTCCAAACAGATGTTTTAAAACATGTCTTGCAGTCAGTGGACTGATGCAGATAAACTCCCTGTTTAATACTCCCTGTTATCTTAGTCTCATCAGAGTACCTTCAAGAAAAGGTCTAATCAGTCCTAGTCTCAGGGGACACAGGTCAACTGGCATAATTAGTCCACAAAGACACTGTTCTACATCCTACTTTTGTGAGTAGCGATTGGGATCTTGAAAGCTCATGAACGACTATCTAAGGTGCAACCATTGGCCTTTCCCTGTGTGGAGGAAAGAAGAGCAATGGAAACTGAAGACTAATAGACTACAGGACCATCAGTATCCGTGACCTAGGGACCAGAAGAACTAGATGTCCAGAAGGTTGCAATGAGGACTTTTTTTTTCCATAATAAGAAATGCTCTAAAACTACTGCCAACTGCTCTGAAAGGGATCATACTAGTAGGTCCTGGATACAGTGGGGGAAAAATGTGGAACAAAATGCAAAATCGTAAAAAGATCAGGCTTACTGGTCAGAAGGAGATGGGTGGAACCCTGACCTTGGTCACCCTTCAGGTCTGGAACTAGTCACCCTTCAGGTCTGGAACTAAATTCACCCACTTGACTCAATTTTCGGTTAAACAACAGCTATAGGAGGTACATAACACTAGTAAGGCACACACACCATAAAAAGGCCAAGAATTCAAGATCAAGAGGGAAGCGTTTACCTAAAGCCTAAGGACAAAATTCAGAAGAGTGGGGAAATAAGGAGGAAAGGAAGTAAGAATCACCGAGAGGAAGTGTGGGATAAGTGATGTTAAATGGAGGGAATTGCAATCTAGAGGAAATGAAGCTTCAGATTTGTTGAATGTAAAACTGGCTGTCTGCTCTGTAAACCACTCAATTCACAAACAAAAAAAGTTCTTTTTAAACAAATGTTCCAATTAAAACAATAGTTTCTGAGGGGATCTTATGGCCCAGTTAAATTCAAGGCAGGGTGTTCAGTTAAGAAGGTTATGGCATTGTTTTTAATGTGATATTTTTTTAAAACAATATGTGGGAGAAAACATGGAACAAAAATCAAAATTATTTAATTCAAAAAAAAAAAAAAAAAAGGTCAGGTTTACTGATCAGAAAGTGACTGAAGGAACCTGAGACTATGGCCCTCAACTACCCTTACGGAAAGGAACTCACCGTCATAGCCAATTTCTCAGCCAAATAGTAGATGGGGGGTGGGACCGGGGAGGGGCCAACGCTGTCAATGATAAGTGACAAGCGGAAGACACAAAGCTGTCTATACATTATATTTATACATACTGAGGGAGAAATCTCTGTGCCTAGAGGAATTGTCTAGAAGGAAAACACTCCAAAGAATTAACAGTAGTTGTACTTACATGGCAGTAGGAGTAATTTTTTTCCCTAGATTTTTTTTTTACAAAGACAAGTAAATTTTTATAAAGAAAAATCCAATATTCAGGCTAACAAAATTTGGAAGCAGAATAAATTATAAACCCCCAGACACTTACCCCAGCTGGTAAATTCCCATTTCATCTGCACATAGAAATCCGGAGCCTGGAGAGCAGACAAGTGTTTAAATTACCCAAATAAACACAAATAAGCAAGGCTAACAGACCAACTAAATAAATAGCTAAGGGAGAACAGGAACAATTTTTTAAAAAATGCATCAAGTGCAAATTCATGAAAATAAACATTTATTTTCTCTTTAGGCTGTTATTTTACCATGAAATATAAAGTATGTCTCAACAGCTAAAGTTAACTGAATGCAACAAGACTGGAAGGGGATTAAGAGGCAAACCTGCTTTGTGGGGGTCCATTAGGTTCTTGTTTTTAAGTGCTGTTGAGTTGGTTCTGACTCTTAAGAGCAGCTGGTAGGTTTGAACTATGGAACTTGTGGTTAGCAGTCCAGTGCTTATCCTACAGCGTGACACCAGGACTCCTATTAGTTCTTAGCAATTATATAACAAGAACCCTAGGAGGAGGGGCTCAAGTATAGCCCATGCAATGCAGACAAAAAAAAAAGGGAAAGTCAATCCTGTCTATTCCATGGGGAGCCTGACTAAAAATGTCAAAGGCTTTGTGTACTGGAAAATGCTGTGTCAGACCATTCTAAGAAAGCAAAAGAGGCTGCTACACATCACTTCCCCAGGAAGTAGATTTTCCCTCCAGCTACCGGGAGACTGGCCCACTATCTTAAGCTTTCACAACATGGCTTCCTGAAGTTTAGCCCCAGCAGAGCAGGCCTGTTTTAGAGCTGTTTTCTTACCTATCATGGATTCTTTGGGAATGTTCTTGGAGAACTACTTTTAAAAATCCAACAGTTACCATCTAAGAAAAAAATAAATACTAAAAATTCCCAATGTTTTTCTGTTTCCTCACTGCCCCCATAGCATTGGCCATAGTCAGTTACAGAAGCATGGGGTCAGGAGTAAAACCAGCCAGGATTCCCATGCTGGGCAAAGGGAACCTTCCAAGGAGTTGTCAATGTGAACACCTGTCATATTTTAGGAGAAAACACTGTGGAAAGGTAACAACATTAACAACTGCCTCGAGTGAGCTGCCCATAGTTTCAAGCAGTGGATACAGTTCTGTGCATCCATTGGTCAGCATCAGTTCAGCTAAACACGAAAATCTCTGGCCCTGAATTGGTGTTTTGCCATGTGGACAAATGAAGTTTTTAGTTCCTCCTGCAGTAAGTTAGATAAGGAAACAATACATCCATGTGATCGGTGCACATTTCATAAACAAATTTGTTTTAAAAACAATGCCCACACCTGTTTTAGATTCCATGGCAGATTTTTGTAATAATGTTTGGGATTTGACTGTTTTAGGCCAACTTTAAGCTTAAGTGTTGTAAGGTGTTTTTTTTGAACTAGAATACTCAAATAATTAGCAGTGAGTGTTTTTATTGTTCTTGTTAAGTGCCGTTTAGTCAGTTCTGACTCAACAACCTTGTATGGGGTTTCCGAGGCTATTTAAATCTTTGTGGGAGCAGAAGGCCTCATCTTCTTCTTGTGCAGTGGTTGGTGGGCTTGAATCGCTGATCTTGTGATTTGCAGTCCTGTGCTTATCCTATGGAGTCACCATGCTCCCAACGACTATCTTACATAATAGCAAAGGTCTTCCTTTTCTCAGCAGAGCTATTCATTTCCCCCGAGAAATAGGTTTTGACTAAATGGGTAAAAGGTGATTGATCAAACAAATATTTGGAGCATTGGGGCGTCACTTCTGTGCTTAAGTAATATATGGAAATGTGAGTTACTGAGACTCTGTAGTTTCCTGCTGTCCTGAAAATATTGCTCATATCTGACTTATTATCCTTTCAGGTAGTTAAAACTGTTCTGAAGGAGGGCAGCCATCATCCAAAACATATCTGTGAGCCTAAAAACACATTTTTCAAAGAAAGGCTGCTGAATGTCATGGAGTCCATGTACTTTACTCCACAAGGTGGATGAACTGCCTGAATGCCAACACTGGGAATGCTTGAAGGCAGTGGCTTTGTAGGATACTCACTGGACTACAAACCACAAGGTTGGCAGTTCAAGTCCACTAGCCACTCTGTGGCTGAAAAGTTAACGCTTTCTGTTCCCACCAAAGATTTACAGCCTCAGAAACTCTACACAGGGTCGCTTTGAGTCAGAACTGACTTAACAGCACTTCACAGCGAGAACACAGAGGTGGCAAAGAGAAGATGCACACATAGCTCGGAGCCCTGTAGACTCCTGTACCACTAGAGATGCTCAGGGCAATTTCCCCGAGATAATATGCTCAGGGTGTTACTTTTCAGAAAATATGCTCCTAGACAAACACATTGTGTTTGATGTTCATTTTTCTTCAGTTATCATTTTCCAGCAGCACTTTAAATGGGAACCCCACTGAGCTGGAAACATAATTCGTAAACAATCTCATACATTCAACAAACTGGACAGACAAGGACTGATGCTATCTGGTATTCCACACACAGTATTCACTTTTCATACAACTCCGTAGGAAGCCACACAGGATGCGCAGCAGCTTCCAGAACTCCTGTATCAGCTCGTGGCTCCAGGGGTGTCCTTTGGACAGGTACCTCGAGAATCTTCTGGAGCAGCTCAGGAACACCTTCGAGGGCCATGGATGTGTTGTGGTAGTCCCGGTGTTGAAGAACTGTGTACACCATCTCGGGATCACCCGTGCTCACAGCCTCATGTAACACTGATCAACAAAAAGGACAAAATTAAATCACCAAGGAGCCACAGACTTTCTGACAAACTGCAAAGCCAATTTGAGAAGTGACCCTATCACACAAACACCAGTGTATTTTCTTCAGAGAGGAAGAGAGGTTGCCCTTACACCTTATTACTGTGACCAGAAACCAGAATGAGCACTCAGTTGCCTGAGCCCATTTGCCAAACCACAAAACCTGCTGCCATCAACTCAATTTTAACGCCTGGCAACCCCATGTGTTGGAAAGTAGAAGTGTGCCGCAAGGTTTTCTGGGCTGTGATCCTTAGGAAAGCAGATCACCAGGCCTTTCTTCTGTGGTGCTACTGGATGGGCTCAAACCACCAACCTTTAGGTTAGCTGTTGTTGTTAAGTGCCGTCGAGTCATTTCTGACCCATAGCGACCCTGTATAGGGTTTCCAAGGAGCAACTGGTGAACTTGAACCACCAACCTTGCAGTTCAAACAGGTTTGCAGTCTGGAACATTAACCTACAAGCCACACCAGGTTAGTAATCAAGCACAAATTGTCCTAGTCTACCATCTAATTTAAGGAGCACTGGTAGCGTAGTGGTTACGAATCAGGCTGCAAACCACTAAGTCAGCAGTTCAAAACTATCAGTTGTTCGCATGAGAAAGATGAGGCTTTCTGCTTTCATAAAGATTTATAGCCTCAGAAACCCTGTGAAGGGTCACTATGAGTCGGAACCGACTCGACGGCACATAACAACAACAACCACCTCCTATTATGAAATCTTGATATTTTCTGAGAGCTGACTTTCATGACTGTGGTTAGATATATGTAGATCTGGCAGGCAGAGCTTGTGCTTATAAGTATCTCTACTCAATCAATACAAAATTGCCCCTAAAAAGTGAAATGCCTAATCAAAACAACAATACATAACATCTTATCCCAGCATTGATAACAAAGTTAAAAAACAACAACAACCCAACAAAAGCTTGTGAACATGTGGAGAGACTGGGACCCTCCTACACTGCTGTTGGGTCTGTAAAATGGTGCAGCCACTGTAGAAAATGGTTTGGAGCTTCCTCAAAAAGTTGGAACTACAAATCCTGTATGGTCCAGCAATCCCTGTATTTGGTATATAGCCCCAAGAAACAAGAGCTGTGACATGAATAGATGTATGCATGGCTATGTTCACTGCAGCACTATTGACACTAAGAAAAAGGTGGAGACAGCCTCAGTGCCCATCATCAGAAGAATGGTTTAAGAAGCTTTGGTACATACACACAGTGGAATGCTGCACAACACTAATGAATAATGACGAATTTGCGACACCCCTCCCAACATGGATGAACCTGGAGGACATTATGCTTTTTATTGTGAATTGAGTGAAGGTTTACAGAACAAATCATCATTACCATGATTGTAAATCCCTTCCATGTACCATCAGTTAACAGTATTTACCTCTATTCATTTGAACTCTCATAGTCCTCCATGTCCTCCACTACCCTCATCTTTCATGTGTCAACCTCCCTCTTTTTGTATACTGCCTTCTCCATCACCCAAGTTAACATGCTTCTACCCTCCATCCCGTGAATAACTGTCATTTCCCTCCCACCCCTAGTAGCCATCATAGACTGTTTCTGTTTAGCAAGAAAACATTTTCTTAACTTTTCACAACAGTGGTCTCATACAATATTCCTAACAGGAAAACTGGCCTTCACAGCCATGAACACTAGAAATGGTTTACACCAAGAGCTACTTTCTAGACCAGGAGCCACTTTCTACCGCGAGCTTTGGTGCAAGACACAACTGGCGTGTTGTACTGTAGACCAGCTAGCGACTCAGCGGTACTCCTCTTCCTGTGTCCGAGTTCCAAGAAAGGAAGAGCTTTAAGGTGAAGATGACTCTGAGGAAAACTTTGATTGAGCCTGGACTTCCTTCCTTCCTAAAATGAAAGGCTTTAAATGATTTTTAAAGCACATTTACCTGTCCATCCCTGGCTGTTTTCTTTTGTAACATCAGCTTTATGTCGAAGCAAGACTCTAGCCGACTCCAGATGTCCCAAAGACACAGCAAGGTGCAATAAGGTTCGACCTCGTGGATCCAGAGCCTCAACATTCTGTGACGTAAACAATGGCAGTTTAGTAGAAACCTGCTGGCAGATATATTACGAGAGGGAGTCAAAACATATTGCTACAAGGGTTACAGTTTATATGTGGACAGGTTTATTCCAAACAAAACATGTATGAACATGTCTCAGAATTCAGAGGATGGCTGCAAACCAGCTCTCTCAAGAATACACTTGTCTTAGTCTTGTTAAGGGGTCTTCAAAAACGAGGCCCTATCAAAACAGAGCCTTTCAAGGGGATCTGTTGGACCGGTTCAATTCAAAGCAGAGAAGTAAGCTCAGAAGGTTCTAGTGACTGTTTATTGGGACTCCAAAGGAATAATCGTGATAGATTTTCTCAAAGGACACAGGATGAGCATTGGAGCTTATCAAGACACTTTAAGAAAACTGAAAATTACATTGGTGGGGGAAAAAGGCAGGAAAGTTAGATGGATGAATTGTTTCCCATTGAAACAATGCACCTGCTCATTCCTCAAGGGTAGCAAGGGCTGTCTTAGAATGTCATTGGGAAACCGTACCCATCCACCCTACAGCCCTGATCTTATCCCTCAGACATCTTTTTGTTCCCCAAACTCAAAAACACTTCAAAGGAACACTATATGAATCCCTCAAGGATGCCCAAACTGTCCTTTTGATGTAGCATTAATAGAAAGCAGAATTCTTCAGAGAAGAGTTAGGAAGATGGAAACACCACCTTCAGAAGTCAAGAAACAATGTTTCCATGATTTTATAGAAATACTTTGGACTTACACTAGTATACAGAAATGTATTTGAAAAATAATACTAAGTGTAAAAGTTCAAACCCACCAGTGGTTCCTCGGAAACCCTTGTCGGAACTGACTCAACGGTACACAACAACAGCAACTATGTATAAATAATAGTATTTACATGCGAATTGCAGCAACATATAAAAATGCATGTTTGCATGTGGACAAGGTTGAAAGATTAATTTGGGGGCTATAAATAAATTTGTAGTTATTGATTTCCTTTTTCTATAAAGTTAATAGTGCCTGTGAGGTATGGATTCACCTTGCAGAGAGCAATTTCACCCTTGTTTTCAGTTCTTTCAAGCATGACCAACACCTGAGGCTAATAAGTAGAAGTGAGGGGGACAGAGACAGGAAAGCAGAGAGGGTGACCAAACAAAGAGGGGGACAATCTGGAGCCTGGTACTAACAACCTAAGCCTCACCAGGCCTGTTGTATGAGGGGGCTTCAAAAAACTCGTGGAGGAATTCCATTATATTTTACTTCCATTTTTCCACAAATTTTTTTGAGCCCTTTTATAATCTAGCATGGCCATGAGGTGAGGCAAAAAGAGCACTGAGCCCTACGGCTCAGATGGAGTTTTCTGGTTGGTGATCAGGCAGGAGAGAGAATGAGACATTCCTCTTTGGGACACAGAAGTTTCTTGATACCACCACCACCTTCTCCTCTGCCAGACCTCACCTTCTGTGTCTTCCTTTGTACTCCTTTTGGTTGTAAGAGCCACAAGTCTAGTGTACTGTCTGTGAGTTCCGTGAGTAGTTCCAGTGACTTCATGAACCCACAGGTGCAGTGAGAGCCAGCAGGGTTGGCATCTATCTGTTCTACATCTGAAAGAAGATGTTCTTCTAACGTGTGAGCTTTGGCCTAGCTCTGGGTGGCTGGGGCTGAAAGATGGTATGCATCTGACTCGTGAGCTCTGGGAAGCTAGGGTTGGAGAGAGAGTGCTGTGTGAATGGTTAATGATGACACTGAAGTGGGATGATGTGATGGTAGGGTTGTGTGACAACGTAGCTGGGTCACAGTTCTCAGTGGTTTGACAATTACAGTGTAGTCATCCCTCATGATGAGATTTGATGTCAGTAGGGACCAGTCGATGGAGAAAGATATCATGTTTGGTAAGGTGGAGGGACAGAGAAAGAGAGTAAGATCCCCAATGAGATGGACTGGCCAAGTGACAGCATTGATGGACTCAAGCGTGGCGACGGCAGTGAAGTTGGCCCAGGATCAGGCAGTGTTTCGTTCTGCTGTGCATAAGGTTGCTATGAGTCGGTACCAACTCGATGGCACCTAACAACAACAACAACTATCACCTCCATGATGAGATCTGCTATGAACACCCAATCAACTGAAAGAGAACTTCCTCAGGGATGTGGCCTGCATCTAATATATAGGGATGCTCTGGCAAAGCTCACTTGCTTGTTCCTAGATCTGGATCCTGCATCTGGCTCATCATCTGATCACCGGCTGTCTGGTCTTGAGCCAGCAGCCTGCCATATTGCCTGCCCATCCTGGGAGTTGTTAGCAGCCTGCCACCTTACCTGCTGACCTGGGGTTTGTCAGCCCTTGTAGCTACATGAATCAGGAGAAGCTTTCAGAGTGTCTTCTTACCCATGGACTTGGAACTTGGCCACCTGTGTGAGCTATTTCCTTGAAATCAATCTCTCTCTATGAGCTGTAGGATAAGCACTGGACGGATAACCACAGGGTCTATGGTTCAAACCACCAGCTGCTCTTGGAAACCCTATGCAGGATTGCTGTGGATCTGAAATGACTCAATGGCACACAACAAGAAGAAACTTCACTGGTTTTGCCTCTAGAGAACCCAACCTAAGACAAAAGGTGAGGACTAAGTCCACCCCCACACCATCACAATTGGGTTCATGCTGAGCCCTACCATAAAGTTAGCATTGAAGGTGGGATTTGCCCACTGTACTCCTGTTTAATGCAGAGAGAATATTAAATATAAAAATAGAAAATAGCACTAACACACCAACTACAGCAGCATATGTAAACATGTATACTTGCATATGGACTACAAATAAAGTTTATACTTACTGAGTTCCTTTCTCTATAAAGTTAAGTACCTAATAAATCAATGTGAGCTATGGGTCTCTGATCATTAAGCACAACCAGAAGAGTCACCTAAAGCTAGTCACAGTAGTTAAATTAGATCTAAATAAGGCCTGCGGCATTCATGAAATACAATTACCCAACGACATAGAATGTGGGGGATTTCACAAGCACATATCAGTATTCAAGTTGAAAACAGGAAATGCAGGGTTATAACCAAAACTGAAAGTACAGAAGATAATTTGGGTCCGAATAAAATTTCATTTTCTGGCTGGATTCCCACCAAAGCATCAGTCTTAATATGACATGTGTTTCTCGTGCCCCGAAACGGCACATAAACCCTCCAGCATGTACAGTCCTACAGACAGGGGGCATGACCTGCAAACCTGAAGAGATCAACGTCAGAATACACACCCCATTCTGGTCCTCCAGCCAGACATACACAGTTGGCCTTTATCTCTTCATTCCTATTCTGACCCTCCTTTAAGTACCCGCATTTGCTCCCTGGATCCACCAGCAATGTCTCTGATGTGAACCACATCTGTATGACTGGGCACCTCTTTCAAAAGGGGACTCTAAAAGGGCTTCCAATGATATAATACCATGGGACTCTCTGGAACTTTTTTTTTTTTTTTTTACCACCATAATCCTTCTTAGAAAATGTATGTATATTGTCTTGATTTGAGATGCTAGCTATTGTCCAAACACTAACTGCAATCCCTGAAGGTAACCTGAGCATGTTGCTCACAGGGGCCGCGGGGACAGAAGGAGAGGTGACTTCAGCAAAACAGGTACAATCGAGCAGCTATTGACCTGCCCTGCTTTGTGAAACTTATGTCAGGGTTATTATACAGTAAAGGTAAAAGCTGTTGTCAAGGAATAAAAGGAGGGGCTGAAGACATTCTGCTAACTGAACATGGACTTCCTGGAGCAATTCCAGGCCTGGACGATCTCCCACGTTCTGAAATCCTGTATTATCTCCTGGAATGTGGTACACACAGCCTGTTATGATTCCTTGTTTTCTTAAGGGGAGGGCCTGTCTAACTCACCAGAGGGATTGAGAATTCCAAAGGGTCAGGTCTAAGTTGAATATTTCTAGATTTCTAGCTTTTACATCCTATCAGGCATCTGGATGGCATAAACAACTGGGCTACTAACTTAAAAGCATGGTAGTTCAAACCCACCCAGTGGCACTGCAGAAGAAAAGATCTGGCACTCTGCTTCTGGTAAGATTACAGTCAAGAAAGCCCTATGGAACAGTCTGAGTCTGTGACCCATAGAGTTGCTAAGTCACAATCAACTGGATAGCACAAGAAAACAACAGTTACCCTGAGACCAAAACCAGACAAAGATACCCCAAAATAAGAAAACTACAACCGATATCTTTATGACTATAGGTACATTTTCTACACAAAATTCTAGCCCAAATATTAGCAAACCCAATTCAGCAATATAAAAAGAATCAGATACCATAACCAAGCGGGGTTTATACCAGGAATACAAAATTAGTTTTATAGCAGAAAATCAATTAATATAATTACATATCAATGGAATAAAGGATAGAAACCATATAATCATCACAATAGAGGCAAAAAAAGGTATTTGACAAAATGCAACACCTTTCATGATAAAAATACTCAACAAACTAGGAATAGAAGACAACTTCAACTTCATAAAGATCATAAACTAAAAAACCACAAGGAATACTATACTTAAAGGTGAAAGACTGAATGGTTTGCTCCTAAAATCTGAAGAAAGACAGCTCTTGTCACCATTATTTAACAACACATTATAAGTTCTAGCTAGAGAAGAAAAAAAAAAAAAAGCAACCAGATTAGAAAGGAGTAAGTAATGTCTCTCTATTCAGGATGTGATCCTATCTATAGAAACTCCTAAGGAGCCCTCTAAAAACTTGTTGCATGGAAGGAACTGCAATCATTGAGATGAAACAAAGTGTATGGTGTACGATTTGATGAGTGATAATTTGCTCTGTAAACCTTCACTCAATTCATAATAAAAAAATTTTCAAACAAACAAAAGTGTTAGAAAAAATTATACTCAGAAAGATGACCTAAAAAATGAAAACACACCCCATGTTCATATGTCAGAAGACATAATACTGTTAAAATGGCAATGCTCTAGAATATAAAGAAG